AGACCCCCCTCCCCCCCAGCCAGGAGAGCCGCCACGTCGCCCTCTTCCTCGCTGCAGCCATAGCTGCCCATCCCACCTGGTCCACCTCCCAGAGCCTGGGCCCCCCCAGCAGCACGGACCACCCACTGGCCGCCTTGGCCACGCCCACAGGTAAGTCCACTGAGTCCAGAGCAGTTTTTCATGCAGTTTAATGAGCTACAGGGGGTGGGGAGGAGGCAGGAGTCCTGCAGTGCCCGCCTGACTTCAGAGCACATCCCACCTCTCCCTTTTCCCTGTCAGGGGAGAGGGGCTGATGGAGGTGCTGAGGCGGGAGGATCTCAGAGCAGGTGGGGGGTGAGGGGGGAGGCCTGCTAGGTGCAATGAAGAGCTGCCATTGGGAGGGAGCAGGGAGGGTCCTGTCTTCATCTCATGGGCAGCATCCTTGCCCGGACCCGGGCTCAAGGAGAGGAATGAATATGACCGCGAATCCAAGGCAAGAAGGATGTCACTCGGGCATAGACTGTAGGAAAGTTGGCAAAACAGTACTCGGGCCCCCAACTCACCACGCCTACCTGGACCCAGGTCTCCCTCCATTTACAGACCAAGGGGCCCCCAGAGTCACCCTGTGGGAAGAGGACACAGGTGGTCAGTACTCAGGGCCCCTGCAGGCAGGAGCAACGGACAGAGGCCACAGTCTGGGGGTCTCACCTGACAGGAGTCCCGGCCCCAGCTCCCCGCACACAGCATGTCCTCCGTGATAACCTTGCCGATCTTAAGGTATTGCCACTGACAGATCTCATCTGCCACGATGGGGACCTCCACCTCCTGCAGATTTTGGGGCGGCGGCAGCGGCTCTGTGAGAAGAAGCCCAGTGAGCCTGTGGTCCTGAGGGGGCGGACAGTCACGGGCTGCGGGTTCTAGAACCACACGCTGAGCCTCAGTGCCTCCAGGGGGACCCAGGGAGTCACCCAAGACCCCAACTGTCTGGGTACACTAGAGGCCAATGGGCTGATAATCTCTAGTCTGACACTGTGGGCACCAAGCTCCAAAAAGAAACAGGAAAATATATTTTTATGCACAAATAATTTTTATTGGGAAAAATCAGAGCAAGTGCTTTCCCCAAGAAAGGCAGAGTGAGCGGCCCTACTGTCAAATTTGACTTTGTCCATTTAATAGTGAATCCTGGAGCGCGTCACTGAAGTTCTCTCTCCTCGTTCTCCATCCCACTATGAAGACTCAGGGAGAACGGGGACCCCCGGAAGGGAGGACACGGCCTGGTGCAGAGTGAGGGGGAGAAATGCCCATGGCACCCTGGCCAGTGTTTCTCAGTGGTGAGAGCACTGGCCCTAAGGGTCCCAGGTGTGATTCTTGGTCAAGGGCAAGTCCCTGGGTTGCAGGTTCAATCCCCAGCCCCAGTCGGGAAGGCAACTAATAGATATGTCTCTCACATCAATGTTTCTCTCTCCCCCTCCCTTCCACTCTCTCTAAAAATCAATGGAAACAATATCCCTGAGTGATACTTAAAAAAAAAAAAAACAACCCATGGCCATGCCTCACTCTTGCTACTTTGGTCTCTGCTCCTAACAGACTCCTCTCAAGCTGTCTGCCTCCTACACCCAAGGGAGACCCCGGAGGGACCCCAGCTCAGACCCCAGCTGAGCCTCCTCTATAATGCCCGGCCCGCCCCCTGCATCGCCCTGGTGTCATCCTGGTTCTGGTTTTTACCTTCAAAAGCAGTGTTGCCCCAGCCAGTCACCCAGCACCGTGTGCCTGGGGGGAATGCGGAGGAGGCTGGCGGGAGG